TTCATCTTTAAATATAACTGCTCACAATTTTTACTGCCAAATGAACAAAGGTCAGATAATTCATTCAATGCAGTACAATCAAACCAAGAATAACACGGCACATTGTCATTAATGGGATACTAATGCCTATCCTAAATTGGAATTATAAATCTAAGTGGATCTCTCGAATGATATTGAATCCGAAATAAAGTTTTCACTCAATCTTGCTTAACGAGGAATTGCGTGGCAGACAAAGGAGAGGAAACACATACTGCAGTGCTAAAAGAGTACTGTTCAACTGTTTCGATCTTTTTGAATCACAGTAATAATGTGAATCTAANGATCCAACTGAGCATGGAACTCAGAACCTCACAGGTAGAGCACAAGAACGCTACTCTTTCACAACAAGTAGTCAGGTTCGGTATTTTCTCGATAATTATAAGAAGAGTGAAGTTAGTTGCCCGCACTAGGCTTGTAAAGTTGAGTTATGCTTCATGGCGTGAAACAGTTTAGTCAGTTACTCTATGGTCAAGGACATAATATACTTGCATTTGAAGTCTGAGATTCCGGATTCAATTCTCATTCAGGCCAATGGGTTCACACTGGCAGTGAGAAGCAACAGGATTGAGAAAGTTGTGGATACTCTAAATATTTTTAATTTATATTTATATTTCTCTTTGTATGACATCGTCATCGTGTTAACAAAATAAATTCTTTTTTAATGTTTGTTTAGTTATTCTCTGTTTGCACATTAAAACAAAGCAGTAGTTTAATTCAAACTTAAAATGTTCCGCAATTATTTGTTTTTTCCAATCGGAATCAAATTCATAGCTAAATTTTAATTTTCGTTCATAAAGAAATTTAAACTGAAATTACACTTCCACTGGATTTCGGTTAATAATTATCGAAATGGGTATAGTTTGTATACCTATACTTTGAATCAGACTGTCTGGGAAATCCAGCCTTCGGTGAAGGAGATGCAAATTCTTGATATACAGAGAGGATCAGACAGAATTTACTTGTTTGAGGTCACGGGACAAGACAATGTGAAAGGATGGAACAATCGCACTGTATATGCGATGCGTTTTTGTGATAAAAGAGTTTCAACAGTGAGGTACATGTCTGAGTATAATAAATAATAATATAATAAAAATATTACAATATTATAATAATATTATTATAATAATATAATAATATAAAATATAATAATAAGTTGATTTGAATTGACCATCCTTCTAAGTTCACCTCGCATAGCCCTTGGTTCTTCCAGCCAACCATGCACTCGGAAGGACTAGGTTCGAGTTTTGCTCCTATTGGAGCTCATCAGCAGTGCGTATCTACTGTCCCGTCCGGGCTTTAAACTCCGGACCGATCGCACGGAAGGCTTGTGTGTCACCAGTTTCCGAACAACCCATACCAGGGCTAAACTGAATTGCCAATTCAATGATAATGAAATACTACTTCAGCCTAGTAGGTCTGTGGCAAATCAGGCCGTAACCTCAATGGAAGATCTGATTTGGTTGGAGGCTTTTGATTGGAGTTAATAGATAGTCAACTGTGTCTCCCTTCGATGACTGACTCTCTCCGAAGACGACACCTGAACAAACACGAATTTTCAAATCGGTTTAGCCCTGGAATGACCTGGTTGGCACAGTGGTGACACACACGCCTTCCATGCGGCGGGTTCGGAGTTCAAAACCGAACAGAACAGTGGATATGCACCATTTATGAGCTCTAATAAGAGTGAAACTCGAGTTTAGTGCTTCCGAGTGTACGGTTGACTTTAAGAGCTAAGAGTTGTGCGAAGGATAGCCAGTTTTACTCATTATCAATTATCCCAAGCCACTACTCACAAGTATCTGAGAGTTAACTGGCAATCAGTTAGTAGACAAGTCCGAAGGTGGAGTTCTGTTCTAATGTTTCGATGATTTCATTCTACAATTTGAATCTAAATTGAATGAACTTTCCATTGTGAAACAGCCCAACTAACGTTTTGTAATGTTAAAAATGATTGAGCAAAAGTTTAAGGAAGAACAGCGAGGGAAACATTTACCGGGAAAACAGGTGTCCCTAGTGCATCCAAAAGCAAAACATTAAATATAGGGACATTGTGTACAATTATCAGCCGCTTATTTTGTCAGTTCTACTCAGAATTTTAGGATCTTTGCGGTTTAACCAGTATACCAAGCGTCATTTCTAAACTTGAAATGACCAACAAGTTGCAGTCAAGAATGATTAGGAGAAAAAAACATTTACAGACGTTTTTTTTCTAACCACTGACTGTCTTTCACCATTGATTTCTTTAAATAAACCTCCATCATTATATATTCTTATGCGTTAGGAACAGAAACTTTTAGTAACGCTCTTTTAATAGTCCAATAATTAACTCCAATCTTGCACTTACTTTGAACAGTTCGGGCACGTAGTCTTCTTGGTCCTGTAATAAAACGACGAACACGATTGAGGAAATGTTTCTGAGGGAATTCCAAAATGAATGTAATTAAAAATTCATTATTTTCCAGCTTTCGAAGTCTGGACTAATTCCATTCATTTATTTATAGGTAATGATGTGTAGCACAATGGTTCTTTTCCTAAGTGAAAACAACAGTGGTGAAAAAATAATGGTCATAAGCAATTTCCGTGGCCCTAATCTATTTACAGCATTTCTATCCTATTTAATGCACTATTTAGCTTATTCGCTAATATCTTATCAATAATCGAACAGACACTGAAAGTATCACCTCAGCTAGTGATCAATTATTTTTTCAACATGTAACTTAATTGAACTTATAAGTAAACACCACAAAATGCACTGTTGCAACGGGACGTCAGTTGTACAAACCCGAGTAGGAACACAAGCTTTACAGTTTGGCATTCTATTGTAGCTTTTGAACTTCATTTTCCAAGGCTGACGGAAAACTCTGGGTCACAGTCTTGTAGGTATAAATCACAAGGATTTAAGCACTCAAACTTTCATTCTTTAAAAATAATCCTTATTTGTGTTTGAGTTTTTCAGCTGTTCTCAGATACACTGATGCCCTAAGCAGTCAGTATGTTCACATTACTGTCTTGTCGTCCGAGAATACATTGCCTTGAAGTCGTATTTCCCCTTCTGGATATTTCACTCTGTACAGACTATTCATTCTTTATTCAGTTCGGCAAAGCCAATGAGATGCCTAATTTTTATGAAAACATCGAAGTTTTTTTCTCTTCTATCAACCAGTCGTAAATACTACTTGTGTCAGTAATGTATAGTATAGAATGGACATCAGTTTTGTGGGCTGGCCTCGTGTTTAGTTTTCAACCAGAATGACATCAATGACATAACGAAAACACAGGCTTCCCCGTAACAATGGAAACTGACAAGATTCGTAAAAGTAATGCGAAAGTACGATTCATTGGTGAATCTGAATCATATTCAGGGTAGTTAGATGACATATCACTATTGAAGTTGGAAGCCTTTACAAGTGGTTTGAGTGCCTGTGCATTTAGACTGACCATGCTTCTTGTCCCTTTAAAGCGCGAAGATTTATTAAAGAGAGTGAGTTGATCCAGCTCCCCAAATCACTCTTCCGGTTGTTGCAAAAGAAATATGGACAAACTTTACTAAATGGGTAACCAAATATCACTTGAGAAACGAATCTCGGATGAAGATTTGGCAGGCATGGAGAAGGCTCGTTAGATGCTTGTCAGCTTCAAACACCTGTTGCGCTGTCGCAACGTTTGTTTATCTGTTATTGGTTGAGTATAAACCGCATCAATTCGACCGGGACTGCTACCATAGTGCAAAGGCTTGGTCTATCTGGGATAGAAATAAACTATCGACATTCGAACACGAAAATATTACTCAAATCTGGTGGGATAACGGCACCAACAATGTCCAGGTCACTCCAGGTCTCTAGCCACCGACTACAATGATCCCTATGCCCCCATCCAAAAAGACTTACGTGACCAACGTGAGCAAGTGTCCTGGTCAAAGTTTTCATACCCTCCCTGTACCAACTTCTAGCTTGATCATTCTTCATTTTCTTCCACCCAGTACCTGCCTCAGCAAACAGCACGTGTCGTGGAAATCCATTGGGTAAAATGCGCAACACATTTCCCAACCAAGGTAGTCTATAGAGGTCAACTACTTGTTCCAGTATCCGATCGCGGTTTCCTAAAGCTCTGCGCCTAACCTCTAAAGTGCTTGTCCGGTTTCCCCATCTGACTAGTACAACGCGGCGTAGATCGTAATGTTCGTATACCGACTGTCCACCTCTATCCTGTTCCCTCAATGGTCACGTTTCTGCGCCGTATAGCAGAACTGACCGAACTGCTGCAGCATACAATTGACCCTTTAAAGACAGCCGAATGTCGCGACGGCACCAAAAACGTCCCAAATTGACAAAATACGAACGAAACCTTCTGTATGCGTGCCAATACATACATTCCGCACTAAGAATGACAGGAAGAAATTATTAGAAAAACTGAGATTTTTGGGTACCAAAAAGAGTAGAAACACGCTGAGAGGTTTACCTTCATAGGTTCTTCTGACAAGTATATTCCTAAGCGTATCAGCTGAACAATTGTATCTACTAGTTTCTTCTCATCCGGTTCACTTGCATCATACTGACTCAGACTGACCGGTTCCATATCGAATGCCAGCACCTCATAAGTGCGATAGACTCGACTGGGTAGATTACTTCGGATCGATAAAATTCGATTGTTGATTAACGGTGCCAGTCGATATTTTTCTGACAACTGTTTTTTCATATCTCGGTCGAAACCAGTAAACGGTATGGGATCCTTGTCTTCTGGCAAATTCCAGTTCAATTTTTCCGTGTATCGTTCAATGTAACAGTTGACGATTTTTTCCGTTTCATTCAAATGTCGCAGTATTTTCATCAGACTACGAAAACTGGTCTGTGAGCTATCGACCACCAGTGCGCAACGGAATGGCTTACTTCAATAATGTTCACCACATGGAACGGATAAATCATAATCAGGCCACTGATCTGGTCAGGTGATTTGAACTGTGGCAGTAGGCCTTCGAAAAAGCCTGAGCATTTATTGATTTACGTCAACGGGAAGCAGGCAACATACTTTGCACTTCATGATAGTCGTTTAGATGAGGCGAAATTTTTCCAACCAAAATCACTGAATACAGCAAATTGGTCTACAATAACGCGGTGAACGAGGGGGATAGAGTGGGCGAGGCGGAGACGGGCAACTCACCCTACCCATAAACTTTCCCTTCTCTTCAAGGGCTTGATATAGTGAGGTTGCCGAAAGACGAGCATCTGCATCTTCTATGTCCATTGTTGCTTCCCTTGTCTCGATTGGCCACAGGGGCGTTTGATTCTCTGAAAGTCGAAATGAGTTGTATTATTTGTTGCCACATTTGCCTCAGTGTCACTACGCTTTTATTCGGAAACTGTTTTGTTACACACAGAAGCACACAAACAAATCTGCATTCAGATAAAAACAGGACTTGTTCAACACATTTCACTTCGATATTTCAATTTTCAGGTACACACTGACTGAAATACTTGGTTTCCATCCAAATGCCCATTAAGATTCTTTTAGTCTGTTAAGTTCGACCATAATTTGGGGTCCATTACCTTATACTGCGTGACAGTCAAATTCGGAATGTGAGCGAGGAGATTTTAATCCCCGAAGAATTGATTGCGAAATAGAGTTATCACCTAGCAATAAACCTATGAAAATTCTTTGTGTCACATCATATATTGGTGGTACTTTTATTCCAAGTTAATGAAACTGCTTATGTGATCATCATAAAACGGAATGGAATAAAAATCTTTAAAAAGCCCCCACCCGAGGAGCAAATCCCATTTGTACTTTTCATTCCGAATGGCGAAGTGGAATCGTTCTATTCTGACCACTTCCATGAACAATATGTCACCGTAAACGCTGTTGGTTGTTATCAAATTGTCTATACCTTCTCAACGTCAAGTGAATCCGTAGTTCGACCTTTTGGTTCTATTTGGAGTGCAAATGTTGCAAACCATAAACCACTGGGGTCTATTTTAGTTTCGTCAAAATAATCACCAACAATTGTATTTATTTTATTGAGGACGAAGGAGAAGTCATCTTTGAGCTGTGCCGAGTGAATCGAGGGGAAAAGCTGACTGCAATCGTTACTCCATCGGCTTCCTATCAAGCGAGCACTGAGAACAATGGCATGGCGGGATTAGTTATGCTGCCGTTAATTGTA